ATAATTTTCATCTATCTCACAGAGAAGTATTAATGGACTACTCAGTAAGATTTATTTTGGTTGACATTCGTAAACACCTTAGCTCACGGACAACTAATCCACATACAAGTTTATTTGACAGAAATGAATTCACAGAAAGCTACTTTACAGATGTTTTATTTCACTGACAAGCTAATTTATTACATAAACTATCTCTAACCTAAACCTACTCTAACCCTAATCTTAATAGAATTATTTTTGTCGGTGAAATGAACTGTTGGTAAGATGAGTTTGTCCTTAAATGAACTGTCTGTAAAGTAATTTTATGTAAAATAAGTTTGCCTATGAACTAAGATTAGTGCTCGACAAAAATCAAGTAAAAACTTGATAATCAAGTATTTGATTAAGTTGAGCGTCTAATAGTAGTACAAATCGGATCTTAAATCTTTTAGTAAATCTTATAATTTACGTATAACTAAAAGATTTAAAATCCGATTTGTACTATTAGATGCTCAACTTAATCAAGTACGTACAGTACTTGATTATCAAGTTTTTACTTGATGATCGTCTACGAAGTGAGAAACATATTTTTAGATTCCATAATTTCTTACAGATCTTTTAATTTAGGATGAAGATCCAACGAAAAGTATTGATGATAAATGTCCAAATAATTTTGTTTATGGTTTAGGTATAGGATCTTTTCTCGGCATGATAGCATTAGCAGGTATTTTTTTTATCTATAGTATCATAAGTCGAGGAGAATACCAAACAATTCCTAGCTAAAGATCTTTTAGATTACCATTTCATTGCATGTTAAAAAATATCGATACAACAATTATCATATTATATATATAATTAAAAAATGTAAAAACGTTTACCATAATCCTAACACGTTTAAACATGAGGCATAATCCTTAACTATCTGTAGATGTATAACCTACTAATATATATTATACGTTTTCTTTTTTTACTGTTATTATCATCATTTCTGAAACACCTCATAAAATTAGCCGAATGATTTTTTGGTTGATTCGGTTATGATTTCTGTATAATAGATTGGGGTATATCATGCAAGCCTATTTACAAACATAGTGCAGGTTACATAGTGAACATTAAATTTTTTATAGATCAACGATAGTGTAATAGTAAAGCAATAACTCTTGAACCAGCAAGTCCACACAAATAAGCTTACATTTGTCGGGTTCATTTTAGCATGCTCTTTAAAGCAACAACGCCTTTATTTCTCAATTTTCATGCAAAATTGTCGTCCTTGATGTTTTTTTAATAAAAAACATCAAAACGTAATTTAGTGGTGATCGACAAAAAATTCAATTTTTTTGATTTTTTTTATAAAACAAAAAAATATCAAAGGCAACAATTTTGCATGGAAATTGAGACACCCGCTATGCTCTAAGCAATAAAAATAAACAAATAAAGGCGTTTTTACTTTAAAGAGCATGCTAAATGAACCCGGCAAATGTAATTTTATTTGTGTGGACTTGCTGGTTCAAGAGTTATTGCAGTTTGAATTTTATATGTTTTTACTATTATTTTACTATTACACTCGTTGATCTATAAAAAAATTTCAATAAAATTACAAAAGTATACGTACTACATGATTATTGCACCAGCATTACTAGACTTTATACGTATGCCAGCCTTACAAAAGTTTTGGCCAACGTTATTCACATAACAAAAATTACCGCAGTTTCCAAACCTATATATATAAAAAGACATGTTACATATATAATAACTTGTTCTACAGGTAATTTATCGTGATGCTAATTTCTTAAAACAACTCCGATATCTAGGTATGAAATTGTCATATTGGAGTTGTTTTAAGAAACCACGATACATGCGGGCGGATTTTTCGATTTGGTGATTATTAAAAATTAATGATAACATTTCATAAAATTTAATCCAATCTTTGATATTGTATGATCTACGGTAAAATAGAATTAAAATTGAATTGTACAATTTTATTTTATTGGTCAATGGCTTGCCTTAACTATTAATCCGATTATGAATCGCTTATGAAACCATTTATGAAACCGCATAACAATTAGAAATCATCATTGTGTTTAATTGGCCAGTTACTTTTCTTAGCAATAAATTGCTTATGAAACTGATCATGAAGCTGCAT